CCCTTGCTGTTCTTCAGCTCCAAAGTAGCTGAAAATGCCCACCCATGGTGAACAGCACAGACTCTTTCTCGCACGTCGTCAAATGGCGGCGAACAATGTCATTACGTCATGATATCCCGTGATGCTTTGCGATTAGAGCTTTGTACACGTGCGCCACCTAGCGATAAGCATAGGAAATACTGCATAAGGTAAATGATATACCCAAATAGTTCGTGTGAGGTATAATTGGGATTATCCTTCATGGTAAGTACAATTTGCCTAATCCTCAATTATTAGCCGGTATAACCGCCCTTCGGCGTAACACACCAGCTTCGCATTTAGGCGGCGCGACAGCAACTAGATACATTATGACTGATTATGACATTAATATTGATGCTATTCTTCACTTTGTTTCAGGGTGAACAACTGTGTTGGATACAGCAACTACAAGTTCTTTGTGTTGTTCCTGGGCTATGGACTCCTGTACTGTATATATGTAGCAGGCACTTCTGTGGAGTACTTCATCAAGTTCTGGAATGTAAGATGTCCTTTTTATTGTTATACAATGACTATTTTATGTGTGAAGTTCTGTACAGTTTTATACAGTTAAGGTATACAAAAATGTTTAACAATTACTCAAACACTTAGTGGTTACTGATTGAAAACCGATAGCTCTAACCAACGTTTTTATTTGGGTGGTCTCTAACCAAAGTTTTCATTTGGGTGGTCACTAACCAAAGTTTTCATTTGGTGTCCCTAACCAAAGTTTTTATTTGGGTGGTCTCTAACCAAAGTTTTTATTTGGTGTCTCTAACCAAAGTTTTCATTTGAGTGGTCTCTAACCAAAGTTTTTATTTGGGTGGTCTCTAACTAAAGTTTTGACTCTGGATGGTCTCTAACTAAAGTTTTTTACCCTGGATAGTCTCCAACTAAAGATTTTACTCTGGATGGTCTCTAACCAAAGTTATTACTCTGGATGGTCTCTAACCAAAGTTTTTACTCTGGATGGTCTCTAACCAAAGTTTTTACCCTGGATGGTCTCTAACCAAAGTTTTTATTTGGGTGGTCTCTAAGTCTAACAAAAGGTTTTATTTGGGTGTCTCTAACTAAGTTTTATTTGGTGGTCTATAACCAAAGTTTTTATTTGGATGCTCTCTAAGCAAAGTTTTTACTCTAGATGGTCTCTAACCAAAGTTTTTACTGTGGATGGTCTCTAACCATAGTTTTTACTCTGGATGGTCTCTAACCAAAGTTGTTACTCTGGATGGTCTCTAAACAGTGCTCTTACCCAGATGGTCTCTAACCAAAGTTTTTACTCTAGGTGGTCTCTAACCAAAGTTTTTACCCTGGATGGTCTCTAACCAAAGTTTTTCCTGCCATCTTGCAGAAAGAGCTGGATGACACCATAGGAAATGGAAGGTTCCACATCCTGTTCCTGTTCTTTGCTGCGGCCATGTTTTCCATCAGCCTGGTCTCGCTGTTCGGATACCACCTGTACCTGGTGTTCAGCAACAGGACCACACTAGGTTTGTTCCTGTGGCTCATATCTTCATGCTTTGCCAGCCTCTCGTGAAGTAGGTCTAGGACAAAAATGTTGTGTTTCCAGTTATCCAGCTGACCCTTGCAAAAGTATGCCGACCCTAGCTTTTTTGGGATCAACTCCAGCTAGGCCATACATTAAAAAGTTTTCATCTCACATCTGAATTTGAAACCCTGTGAAACCCTGTTTCACACATGCAGTAAATTCGGGTAAAATATTTGTCCCCTCCCCACAAGGGAATGTAGGGATGGTTTCAGAGCATTATCTGTGTCTGCACTGCTGTGTGGCCCAAGGACTAAGAAAACATACATGTAGATGAGCACTACCCTATGCACCATATGATGTGGAAAGCCCTTTAAGACTTTTTAAAGACTTTTTAAAGACTTTTTGATCTTTCCTTGTAGAGTCCTTCCGAACCCCTATGTTCAGACATGGCCCTGACAAGGACGGCTTCAACCTGGGGTCCACCAACAACCTGAAGGAAGTGTTTGGGGAGGACAGGAGGTTGTGGTTCCTGCCAGTCTTCACCAGGTCAGTTGGGGGCGCTGCTGTACTGTCCCTGTTTAGGCCACACTGACTTGATTTTATGGATGACGTCCGCTGAAGACCCCAAACTAGGGCACGTGGGCAAATAAAGAAAAATCCGGCCTGCAAAAAAAAATGCTGCTAAACCACAGGAATGCAAAGCTGGTACATGTACCAGTACAATGTATTGTGAATTTGTGGTGGCGACTTTTACGATAAGCTGGTACATGGTGGCCTTTTGCAGCATTCGTGAGTTGGCACTGTACTGAGTTCTTAAGTTCTGTGGAGGTTCGGGATAGTGATGCATACCGGTTCACTGGACTTGGATCCGGACTTGTAAGAATGTTTAGGTTCAAGTCCGAAAAAACCTAAAAGTCAAGAACCGAGTCCGGACTTATTACCATAAAAGACCATTTCACATACCCCTTTTATTTCCAAACCACCTAAAACCTTCCGTAGATTGCAAAATATTTGCTGCAAAATGAAGAAAACATTGCCATCGGGCATCGTCAAGTACCGGCCTCCATGTTATGTGGCCAAAGTTTCACCCAGACAACATTGCAAGGTTGCCAACATGCAATTTTGTATATGCCATGGGTGTAGGTCCGGACTTGCAAGTCCGGAACTGAACCTAAACCTCTGGACTTGAATACGGACCTGAACCTAAAATTGGGTTTAGGTATGCATCACTAGTTCGGGAGCCTGGGTGCCATCCTCTGTAGTTACCACCAACTCCTTACTGTTGCTAGCTACCATGGACAACGGAGGATGGCACCAAGGCTTTTGGGGAGGTGATTTTTTTTTTTTCGAGAACAGGCGAAATTCAATGCCCGTGGGGATGTCATCCAAAACATTATGTCAGGGTGCCCTTACAGGTCTGCCTGAGCAAAAACCTGTTCTGCTTTTACCCACGGTCCATCTTGTGTACTGCACTTTTTCCTGAAGTCCAGCTCTATATTTTTTTTGATGATCACTTTCATCACCTGTAATCTTACTGTTGTCATACTCATATCCTGTGTGCTGCATTCTGTGCTTCCCTGCCCGTCCATATTTCATGTTGACTTCTACTTTTTCTCCCTCTTTCTCTTCACCATTTCTTTTTACCTCTTCAGTTGTCCCAGTCCTGAACACAAGCAATAAGCAAGTTAATGCTTCCAACCATGCATGCACGGATTGATGCAGTGGGGAAGATGTAAAAAGTTGAAGTCCCCTGACTCAAAAACACAACATGTCTGGACATGATTGTATAACAGTCATGTAGTAGTATCCAGTCTTTGATTATACTACTGCAGGGGTCCCTGACACAGCATATGCACACACAACCTTACATATTTGCTCTTAAGTTAATAACTTAACATTCAGATGACCTGCCACAATATCTGAACACCCGATGAAGCCTACTCTTGTATATCACTGTCCTTCTAACATCTATTAGCTATGATTTTCTCTTATTTTTGTATTGTAAATTCTTCATGCTTTCTCTCCCCTCTTCACCTTGTTGTAATGTCTACTGTGCCCACCCCCCTCCCCCAGCCTTTCTGAATTTTGGTGGCCTGTGTTGTTTATGACTAATACACTGTATCCTTCCGTTGTTGTTGCTGTAGTCTGGGTGATGGGCTGAAGTTTCCCACGCGAGTTCAGTACGATCCGACTGAGCCGGCCCCGACAGATTCCCCCGCCACTGAATCCCCCGATAGTCCCGATAGCGTTGGGTACGTCGTTCTCCGCATGTTTGTGTGGCTTTTCGGCGCTTTTGACTCAAACCATCTAGTCTTTGCATTTCATCGCCTGTTTTTAGTGTCATCATTAATTATTGGCTTCCATGTTCTTATAACTATTGGTGGTGGTGAGGGACTGGCTCAAACTCTGCAGTTTACCTTGAAAAAATTAATTTCCCTACTGTCATTGCTAACAAATCAAAGATTTACATGGCCCATAGAGGGATTCTGAATGCAGTTTAAAATGCTGTACAGAAAAAATGTCATTTTGAGAAAAGATATACATCTGTGGTTGAGCGGTCTGGTTTAAGATTCTAAAACCACATATTGTTCAGAGGTTTTGGTTACAAGTTTCCGTGTTGAGATAACCATCTGAATTCAAACAAGGAGCTTCAAACAAGGTCCTTGATTCACAGTGGCCAAGTGTACTTTCAGAATTTTTCTGACACGTATCTTGTTACTTTACTGGTGGTAAAAAAATCTCCACTGATTTATACAGTATTTACTGAACAGTCTGTATGAAATATTTGAGTTGCCCTGATCCTTGAAGCGACAACGAAAATCTCTCTTCCCTCTTTCCCTTCCACCTTGCCTAGATTCCACCTGATGGCTATTCAGTGCTATTCAGTATGGGTGGGCATGTCACTGTGAATGCAGAAACTTTTGCAGGGGTTTTATTTTCTTGATGACCTCACACCATGGAAACAAATTATTGCAAATACATGTGTGTGTTTTTTAAGTCTACTGTGAACTTCAAACAACCTTTTCCCTTCAACTGAGAAATAAACCCCCCCGCAAAAGTTTCTGCAGGAGGATATGGTCATGATCAAATGCTTAGATTTATACTCATGAATGACAAATCATACATATAATATATATATATATTATGATGTCACATCATAACCACATGTAGAACAGCATAGAGGCCACTGCTTGTACAATGCAGTTACTTTCTTTTGTGTTACCTCAAACCAACATCAACATAATCATTGCACAAAGTATTGGTGTGTATGTATGAAGTAAAGACCAAACGTTCCTTCCAACAATACTGGAATGAATTGGGACTTACCCCAAATTTTCGGCTGACTCCTTCAACCTTGTTCAACCCGTAGTAGTGTTCATGGGCCAAAAATTTGGGGTAAATCCCAATTCATTTTAGTGTTGGAAGGAAAGCTTAGTCTTTATTTCATAATGACCTGTACCAACACAGATGAACTTTCATGCAAAGTATTGGCGTGTATGATGACTATTTCTTGTTGCCCCCCTCCCCCCTGTCCTGTAGTTTCGGTTACAGCATTAGCAAAGTATTGGCATGTATGATGACTGTTTCTTGTTGCCCCCCTTCCCCCTGTCCTGTAGTTTTGGTGACGGCATGAGCAAAGTATTGGCGTGTATGATGACTGTTTTTTTCTTGCCCCCCTCCCCCCTGTCCTGTAGTTTCGGTGACGGCATGAGCTTCCCGACCAGAAGAACCTCGGAGGACTCCCACCAGCTATTGAACGACAGACAACGCTGGGCAGAGGAGGGGGAGGGAGACGTCAGCGACAGGGAAACAGGTGAACAAATCATTCTTTAGATTTCAATAGAAACGTTATTGAAATAAGATAAGGCACACGGACTGATAATGGACTAATGACTTGCTATTTATTTCGTATTATATTTTTTGTTTGATTTGTAATCCGTGACCCTGCCCTCACCCTCGACCTTGTTGAAAAGCAGTCATATGTTGGACCGAACAAGCTTATCAAGTTTAAATAAAGGCTTACTTGTACTACTACTACTACTACTACTACTACTACTACTACTTCTACTTGTGATCACAATATAACAATGATGCATTGCAAACAATACCCTAGACCATCCTCCCAGGTACTCTTGAAAAGTGTACTTGATACGTTTTTTAAGGGTTAAGTGTAAGGCTGAAAAAAATCACTTCTGGAGCAGCAGTATTGTTTTGACTCATTTTTTTCCTTCTTTCCTCAGCTCTCACCACAGTACAGCCCCCTGGGCGTAGCAGAGTTCACGTAGAGGCAGAGACGTAGCGGAGGAGGGGGGAGTCTGGCTCTTGGAACAGCGTACCAAGACCCTACAAACTGTGCTTTACGTAGTCCTTTCATGGGGAACAACAGTATGAAATTATTTGGAAGCTCAGTTATCAAAGGGGTTGATCATTTTGTATACAGAAGAAACATGTGTATGTATTTGTAATGCTGGTGTACTTTAAAAAAAAATACTGTTGACATGTCGCTCTTGTCAGGAACACAAGTTTCTTTACATTTCCCAAGTGGAATTATCCTCATCTTTGCAAAACTCGAAGTAAAACCATTTTGATACATGTACTTGAGCAGGAATGTATAGTAAGGTACGATGTCGAAAGATACAATTGGGATGCTTTGTTTTTTGTTTCTTAAAATAGTTATGCTTGTACATTTTAATGTGTATGGTTTAGTAAGGAAAAACCCAAGATTATTTGGATTGCAACCTACATTTGTAGCAGAGGAAAAGAGTTTACAACAGACTACATGTATTTCAAATACCCAGTGTATTCAGGAAAAAAAAAGCTTTTTAGATACTATCATCAAGATGTATGATACTTCTGTATTAAGGACCAAACTTTTTTTAGACTATTAGAAGTCTTAATCACTGATAAAAAGACAAGAGTTTTTGTACATACAGTTATCGTTTCATATGCAGTCTCCCTTTAGATTATGTAAATATATTTAGTAAAAAAAATTAGCACAAGATACAAACAGCAATATAAGAAAACTTGGAGCCCTCTGTGAAAACTTTCTAAATCACAAACTTCAGGGAAAATGTATCTTAGATTGCTGCACTGATACTTGCCTTACAACAAGTACAATCAGATCAGAAAGAACAATTTTACATAAACCTGACAGATAGAGACAAAGATAGATTAACAGGTACTTTCTTTCCTTTACTTTTTCCTCTTCGGTTACCCTAAAAAAAAAGAATATTAGCTTGAAAACTTTTGCACAATCATTGCTTTTATCTTGTTGTATGATTATGCTGTAAATAATTGTTGTTTATAATCAGGAATGATCACTAAAACTTTGTACCGTAGTCAACTGTGCCTCTGTAAGGAACTGTTGTACCATGTCTGTATCTTTTTAAACACAGTGGACATGTGTATATATACCGTTTATACATGTAGGTATGGTACATCACTGGTCGTTAAAGACTAGCATACGCAAATAAAAACTTGAGACAACAATGTCCAAAAGACTTTGTATATGTCACAGAACTGTGCAAAAATTTGAGAAATGTATTGTTAATTGGTTGCCTGATCAAATCAGGTTATTGAAGAACAGTATGTGTATGTAGTGCTGGACATAATGTGATTCTGTTGTAGGGTTTTTGTTTGTGTGGCCTCAGCCTCAGCTTAGCCTCAGCCTCTACCAGACTAACACCGCAGGTTCAAAACCAGTAAAATTTAGTCAAATAGGGAGAAAAATAGGCCAAGTAGTTTATTAACCTTTGGAGAAGGACAATTGTTTTCCTTTTTTTGGCAAATTTTATCATCCATACCCCTGTAGGAAGGCCTGGTGGAGGCTAGCCTTAGCTACTGGTTACACACAGAGATAACCAGACTGGTCAAGAGTTATCTTCATAATCTGGATCTAAGTGTATTGATGTATGCTGGACAATACTAAGTATCTTTGAGGAAAACAAGTACTGTGTACTAGACAGAGTGAAGTTGCTGCAAATCTCAATGTAGTGTTTGTCACCAGTCAAGCTTTTGTACACAGGTACCTTTCTGGTATAGGTACTTTGAATTTTAACATTTCGTTTAAGTTTAAACAGTGCTGTTAACGTAGGTAAATAACTTGTAAGTAATTATAGTCGTTTTGTTTTTGTCTTGTTTTCTGCTGGAACGTGCTCAGTTGTTTAAATAATACTGTAGACAAGACAGCACTAGCTTGTAGGTTGGAGGAATCATTTAATACACATTTTTGTGCTTTCAACAATTTGTGTAACTTTGTCAGTTGTACATGTGTGTGTGTGTGTGTGAATGAATGGGGAAAAAAGTACAACATAATACATTGTACTGTATCTCATATACAGTATAACAGATATGGACTCTTTTTTTACGAAAGACTGAAAGACTGATACAGGATAAGATTGGATTGGTTAGAAAACACTTATAATATCTAATCTACCCATTTGACAATATCAAAAGTTTCTTAAGACTTGTTTTCAAGATACTAGTAGTGTGAGTTTTGCCTGTGGTTTCTCCCATGGTTTTGAGTCTTCAATGTGTCCAGAGCCAGTGGCTTCCTGCCAAAAGACTGAAAGACCACATACAACGTCCTTCAAGTATTTAACTGATATCGGGCCGGTAAGATTGGATTAGACATTGGACAATCTCAGTTTCTTATGACTTGTTCTCAAGATACTGGGTTTTTCCTGTGATTTCTGCCATAGTTTTGAGTCTTGTGTCCAGTGCAAGTGGCTTCCTCCCTTCGTGGGTTTTAAACATGTTAGCTAGAGCAACCCGTGCCGCCTCTTCTACCGCCTTTGGCAGGGTGTCTCCGGATGCCTCTCCTAACAGTTCCTTATCGCTGTACACTCCTACACAGAACACAGGCGTAACTGTGTTCACCCCGGACTGGTTGATGATTCTCGGCTCCGGTTCCCCCCTTCCTTCCTTCTGTAAAACCTCTGCTAACATCCCCATGGGATTTGGTACGTCCCACATGGCGTTGACGTCCTTCCCGACTAGCTGCGCGACCACAAAGTCCTGGACAAACGCCTCGGCGCGTTGCGGGCCCTGGTCGTGCTTCACGGCGCCGATGATGGCGAGAAAGACTTGCTTGGTGACGGGAGGGGGAACGGGGAAGGTGGAACAGCGGATGAGGTCTTTCACTCCCAGATGTTTGGCTATCCACACCAACATGTCCTCCTGGGTGACGTAGTCATGGATGGCTCTGAGAGAGAGAAGATTGTTATGATTCTACACAAGCAATGGAGAAAATGCACTAAACTAGTGCATAGACTAACACTGCATTGCTAGCTGACCTGTACTCATTTTCACAATTACCAAAGGAGGAAATTTGTTCCTTTTCCAAGTGCAAAGCATCAGGGAAGCTAGGAATTCAAACCCTAGGAGTCAGGAGCTAGGAGTCAGCAACCCTAACCACAAGGTACTGACTACTGTAACTGCTGTTGGTAGACAGAACACTCGATATGCACTATGGAAAGAAATAACTTCATAATATATATATACATGTACATTTGAATTTCTGTCTATCTCTAATGGTAATTATTGCCTCTGGAAGTTTGTTCCATAGTTCTACTGTTGGAAGGAAAGTTCTCCTATGTCTGATGCTAATTTTGTAGTATTACATGTATTATAGCAATTCCTAATAAACAAACAGACAAGCAGTAGTTTGTCCTTACTTGACCCCCTCCTCTGGCAGTAGTGGGAACTCTGCCCTGATGAACCTGTAGATGTAGTTAGTGGTGAGTTCCCAGCCCTGCTCTGACAGGTGGGAGTTATCCTGCATGTCCAACTTCACATCCTCCAGGGGCAGGCCCAGCTCTCGTCTACGCTCCTCTTCCTACAGAGAACCAATAGGGAAAATGTCAAACTGTTATAGCAGCATTACAAAACTGAGGGTCAATGTATTGCCCATAAATTGAAAAGTAGGATCTCTACATTGCATCAGCCCCTCAGAGTCAGAGACATGTCATGAAAATGTCCAAGATGAATTTCATTTTGTTACAACTCGTCCTACTTACAATAATGAAGGTCAAGAACTGATACAGATTGTTACCACAGTAAGACACAGTTCAGAATCAAAAGGTCTGGTGCACAGACAGATATATTGAAAGTGTACCATAATGATGTCCAGCTACGTAGGTCAACATCTTTGTACCAAAAGAGAGACAAGATCATTCATATACGTAATATTTCATAAAAGTAGGATAAATTACAGTGCTATACGTATACCTTGTATGACTGTCAAGCAATAATGTTTGTTCATTTATTTGTCAGATATCACCCTCTCACCTGTTCCACATATGACCTGTCTGTGAAGGCAGCTCTCAGTGTGTTCATGTTCAGCTTCTCTCCCAGGCGAGGCCCGAAGGCAAACAGCTCGCTCTCATAGTTCCAGTTGATCTTGGATGACCTATACCGGTAAGAAACAAAACATGAAATCAGATATTTTGCCATTTGGGAATGCCTGTGGCTATTGACAGGAACATCCTGTCAATATAACAGGACCTGTCCTGTCAGCAGTGCAATATTTTCTGTTATTGACAGGACCTGTCCTGTTAGCAGTGCAATACTTTTTGTTATTGACAGGACGGCCCTGTCAATAGCCACAGGCATGTTGGCAGCCTCGTGCCACGTAATTTGTGCCACCCATGCGGACACAACCCTGTCAACCAACTGAAACCCAATCTCCGCCCGGTCACTCCCAATCCTCGTTACTCAGATACTTACAAAAGATACATACAAACTCTCCTTAGACCAGCACCGTCCCAAACATAATTTTTATTTCCAGATCACTTCTGGTGACCTACCTTGGTTGGGGAGGGAGGGGGCCAAGCCACTCGTTCTCCTTGTTGATTCGGTTCAGAAGAGTCTGTAAATACGGGCGCACCCATCGTTTGGTCCCTCTAACCTGCGTTACCACCACCTCGGAAGCAAGTGGGATCTGCGTTCTGGTCAGGGTAAGGCAGGAACGGTGGAATAAAAGTGATTTTCGTGCACAAAGTACGCAATTTCTGCCAAGCCCCGCCATGCTTGTGGACCAGCACGGTTTGCGTTAATTGTCGTAAAATCAAACACATTGGTGATATGAACGTAAAATACACTGCAAAATCCTGTCAATTGTGGGGAAATTTGTACTATTGACAGGATCATCCTGTCAATGATAAGAAAAATTGCACTATTGACAGGATAATATGTTGCGAAATCTTACACAACCGCTGTCGTAAAATTCCATGACCTTGCGTAAGGACCGACTTGCGGCACGTTACGGGGCGATCGAAAATGGCGGCGTTACTCGGCAGTGCGCTGAAAGGTGAGTCTGTCTTTCTGTCCTCTACTGCTCAGAACGGTAACTTCGGCCTACAACGGTAATATATTCCAAATTCTAAAGATATAGAGAGCCTTTGGTGCAATATTCAAGCAAATTTTGTGACAGAAATTGCGCTGAAACTTACCGGTAAGTTTGTGTTGCCAAGTCAGAAATTTCGTCTGCTACGTAATGTTACCAAATCTCTCCTTGGAAGATATGAACCTGAGATATAATTCATTCCAGCAAGTTAATTGATATCATAATAAATCTGGTATTTTACGTGTATATCTGATATTCCATACGCATCTGGGTGCTAAAAATGTCATTTGACATCCCTCAAAAGTATTAATAATATATTTTGATTTAGCCACTCAGTACTTCGAGAGGAAAATAAATTTGTGATGTCTAAAAAATGAATTTATTTTGGCACTGTCGCTACAGATCTTTTGTGGATTGATTATTACAACTTTATTTAGAGTGTATTTTTACACGTAGATGTCACATGATGATGAGAAGCTTAGAAGTAACGATTTGTGCACAACGTCAACCAACCCACATGACGCAAAATTTATGACGTTACGAAACGTGACTTTGAAAATCTGATCATCAAGTTAGACCAGTATCGCGCAGTTACTGAACTAGATTTGTAGAATGTACCAGTACATGTATTTGTATTTGCTAATGTTGTAGACTTTGAACCCAAGTACACACACACTAGTAATGATTTGTTAATTTGGTGGGTGTGTCAGGGGTGTGGCAGTAGGTCAATATCGCATTTACATTTATTGTGTTGATAACTTGCACCAAAGTCCCCAAAACACAGCACGTTACCACATAACTAAGTAGTATACGGCTACACATACATGTACCGTTACAGTACTATCACCACTAGTATATCAGGCCCTATTTGTTCCTCACATAGCCTTTGGCCAAGTTTTATGCCTTGTTGCTTGGTGACCTTAAGTAATACTAAAGACTCTTCTATTTTTTTCCAGCTGGGCGGTTTGCGAGAGCGGGGGTCCGGTTGTTCTGCACCAACAATGTGGCCACCCCAAAAATCACCACACACTGGTCAGTCCTGCCACGGGACAAGGACACCAGATGGAGCGGTCAGTTTCTTCACCTTCTTACTGTTTGTCATGTTCTGATTTTGTAGCTTTTTAATGTCTAAGGACAAGGCAAAAAGTACTGTTCATAATGTTTTCATAATGTTCCTTTTGTAGATTTTCAATGTCTAAGGACAAAATCAAAGCAGTATAAAGTAGAGTGGATTCATTCCTCAAGCTAACTGACATCTCGTACATTGCAGTTGTCCTGTAGTAAGTAAGGCATCTGGCATGTCTGGAGCCACGCAGTTCACATTTAGAACTTTTATTCATCCTGTCACTTGACAAGGCCAAAGTATGAGAGACAATTGTATGAGTGATAAACTGATAATCCATTGTATACTACGTATTGTAATTTCCCCATGATCATACAATTCAGTTCCAACACATTTATAGATATACCGAAAACACTTCCTGGAATTCTGAAACTTCTGATATTTCTCCTTGCTGGATACTACTACTATCACTACTGCTGCAAGTACATGTAACATTGCCACTGTTTTTCCCCCTCAACCGTTTGTAGAAGTTGACATGGAGAGAGTGTCAGACGAGGTGGATGTGTGTATAGTGGGAGCAGGACCAGCCGGCCTGTCAGCAGCCATCAGACTGAAACAGCTGGCCCAGCAGCATGAGAAGGAACTGAGGGTACTGGTACTGGAGAAGGCTGTGGAAGTGGGTGAGTAGAAGCAGAAAAAACTCACCCTCACTCACTAACCAGGTTTATCGTACTAGTATGTTGTTCCCTGTCTTCTGAGTATTAGACATGCTTGTACACTATTAGACATGAATAGGAGGTGATGAAGATAATGATCTATATGATACTATATGAAGAAGATACTAGTATATGATACTATGAAGAAGTAGATACCCAAAACACTTCCTTGGTACTGGTACTGGAGAAGGCTGTGGAATTGTGGGTTAAGTACAATCTCCAACAGAAAAATACTGTAATGACTTTACATTTTGTCATGGCATATGTTTTGAACCGAGAATCAGTGCTTGTAAATTTGATACACAGTAGCCTGGTTCTAATTACCAGACCTATTTTAGCTCCCAAGTCTATATTCTCTCCGAAAGGATATGCATGTAGACTTAGGAGCTAAAATAGGTCTGGTAACCAGACTAGAAGCACAGGGAAAGAAAACCCTGCACAGAAATCCAGGGAAGACATCCCTGCACTTAAGTTCTAGGGAGTAGCACAGAAAATCCAGGGGGGATGAAACACCCGTCAAAAAAGTCCCAGGGAGCTAACTGTAGCCGAAAACGCCAGTGGGAATGTTTCTTGAGGAAATAGGTGTAAAGTGCCCTTCCCAAGGATACAACATTGGGGATTGCCCATTTGAACCTTGTACCTTTAGGTTCTACTGGTAAGTCAGCAACCCTAACCACAAGCCTTTCTTCCTCTTTAGGTCTGCACACATTGTCAGGAGCCTGCCTGGAGCCACATGCACTAAATGAGCTCATACCAGACTGGAAGGAGAGAGGAGTAAGAAGGATTTTAAACCTCTAATGAGCTAGTTCATAGTTCCAACTGGGCATGCGTAGCGTGATGCATTTTGGGTAAAATGTCAAAGTTGAAGGTCTCTGAGACACTGTGTACCATGTCACATGTTCAAAGTTGGAACCAAGATCTGTTTATTTTTATTGAACAATTAAATGATTTTGTGTGGATGTTGAGTAGATACATGTACATGTATATTGATTGAGTGATTGATAAAAGTAGAATATCATGATTGTTCCTTGTTTGCATCAGTGCATCAGATCATTTCATAGCACATAGCTGTAAATGGTACCCTCATGGTAAAGTGCTATGAAAGTTTTGTTTAGCATATCTATAGCTTGAAAGAAATGCTTGTCTCTGACTATTCTCTCTTTCGTTTTCTCTTAACGTTCATCAAGTACATGTACTGGTATTTCCCCACCTATGTACAATAATCATAATACACATACGAATGTATTATGATCATAATCTAAGGGCTTCAGTACTCTTGTGGTAAAACGCTTGCAAAAAAAAAACCTTTCTGAAACTTCTTTTAACATGACAGGCGCCAATGCATACTCCCGTGACACAAGACAGGTTCAATCTACTCACTGAAAAGTACAAGATTCCTATTCCCATACTACCAGGTAGGTAGTATGGAAGGCCTGGGCTTAGGAGAGCGAGCTTGCTTCCATACCCAAACTTGCACAGCCATCTCATTACACTGCTGCTTTCTTCCTCTACCAAGAAAGCTGAAGGGGACAAAAAGATTGATCCAAGATTTGTGCAAAATGGTTGTATGAGCCTGGCATCCATCCTATTGTAGTTCAGGTTTCACTACTCTGACCATATATTTTCAAAATAGTTTGGCACCTATTTCCTTTTCCTATTGTGGTAGTGTGCGAAGTCCAATGGTTAGCGACCCTGCCTCTGGAACAAGAGGTTGGGAGTTCGAATCCCAGCTCTTGTTACATGCATGCTACTGGAAGAAGTAGCAGCAAAGTGACTATACAGGAGCAAACCAAAACAAGTTTATAGGGTGGATACCAGGCCATTTATTTTTGCCAAGTAAAACCTTAAGTTTGAATTGCCACATTTTGGGTCTACAATCTTCTGAGAAAACTTTAAAACCTGTCAACAAGTCTTGGTCCCAAATCATCTCTCCCCTTGGGTTTTACTAACTCCTTTAACACCTTTGATCCGAGCATAGCTCCTGACATCAAAGGTAAGTTTTAAGATAAAAAAAAGCTGCAGCATGATGAAGTGCAGTTCTGATAGCGCTTGCCTGTCTTGCTTCTGCCCAACTCTGCTGCAGGCACCAATCCACACACCTGTTACAGAGGACTTGTTCTACTTCCTGACTGAAAAACGCGCCCTTCGTGTCCCCATTTTACCAGGTGGGTATGATTGTGCAATGTATCTGTAGCCAAGAGTGCGTACTCAGGCTAAAAAGGCTGGCATTCAGCCTAGTGTATCTGATGTCCTGCCCTGCCAAGCTGCAATGTGCAAGATTAAATCTTGTTGATAAATGATTGTTTTGGTAAAAGTATATCTCATTGCATTCAATGTTTACAATTCTGAGGATCCTGCACTCCTGTTTTATACTATGAGTATGAATAAAATAGTGTAGAATATTAGACTTGTTATTTAGTACAGTTTATCAACTTGCCATACATTGTTTCTGCTACATGTACATGTACGATGGAGGTATAATAGAGCTCTATGCCACTAGAATTGTTGTGCAATGCAACTGATTGATGGATACATTTTGTAGTTAGATAGATTGATCAATTGTATCCCAATCTTCCAGGGCTTCCGATGCACAACACTGGGAACTACGTGGTCCGTCTGGGCAACTTTGTCCGCTGGATGGGCGAGCAGGCTGAGGAACTGGAGGTCGAGATTTACCCAGGGTGCCCTGTCACAGAGGTCAGAGGGCATTGTAGGGCCATACTATTCTTGCTTTGTAGTGAAATCAAGGGGTGGAATTGTATAAGAAGGTTCTTTATTCAACAAAATCAGTGGGTTTTCACATCCTACAACAATGTATATTTCCGTGACTGTCTCGCATCCTCTTTAGGACAACAATGACTGGTTCTGATTTATACTGCAGCTAGGTGTCTCTGCTGCAATATGACAAATGCAGTTCAAGACTGGAGTGGCAAGACTCTTGTTTGGGACCGCATTTGTAAAATTGCAGCAGTGACAAAATGCCTTTTAACATGAACTGTTACCCCTTTTATTCTAGGTGTTATACCATGAAGATGGCAGTGTAAAGGGAGTGGCTACAAGTGATGTGGGCATTGCAAAGGATGGAGCGCCTAAGGTAAGACCAGCAGAAATCCACTGCATCTGGATAAAGCACATCTAAACACATCCTTTAAGTCTTGAGCATTACTGGTTACATTGCTGTGAACGTGATGTCTGAAATTGTCATCAGTCATTGCGATCATTATACATTACATGTACATATAAACTTTGCAGAGAGTTGAATTATCAGCTTTCTTCTTGTACATTGTTGTATTTCTGTGTCATCTCCAGGATTCATTTGAGCGAGGGATGGAGTTCCACTCCAAGGTGGTGATCTTTGCTGAGGGCTGCCATGGACACCTGGCCAAACAACTGTACAAGAAAATGGACCTGAGGAAGAACTGTGAACCACAGACCTATGCCATCGGACTAAAGGAGGTGAGACATTCACTCACTCACTATCTAAAAGTTAAACCTTGTCAGTTGTTCCCTGTCTCCCGAGGTTTAGACGTGCTTGCACACTGATGCTGAGACTTGATGGTAGCCCGCCATTTGCCTCTGTCCTGTGGGCTCACAGTCTGTGTAAGTTGATCTCTTTCCCTTGTTCAATGGGTCAAAAATAATTTTTACTACTACTGGGGTGGAAGTATTGTTTTGGGTTGCAATGTTTTATGAGGAGTTTGTATGTATCTTGTCTAGAGCAGCGAGGATTGGAAGTGAGTGGGTGGAGATCATACAATACAGTTCCAAGACATTCACATAAACCCTCCCCGGAAGTCTGAACTATCTGATTCCTTGTTTTTTGTATGAAGTTACTGTTTTTGTATGAAGTTAACATTGTTGTGTGCCGCCCACAGCTATGGGAAGTCGATCCAGCCCAGCACAGGCCAGGCAGAGTAGAGCACACTGTGGGGTGGCCGTTGGTGAGTTTTTCATCCATATATTTCATTGTTCTGTCTTCTTGTAGTCAGCACTCTTCATGGGACTAACATTAAGTGCTATACATTGCTTTCAAAGTGAAAGAATGCAGAGTCACAAATGTTAAGGATACCAAGTGAGCTGTATGTCTGACATACTACTGACATTATTATTTTTATACCTTTGACCTGATACAAATTTTGGTTGTTGTATATTTTCCTCTGCAGGACAGAATGACATACGGTGGATCTTTCATCTACCATCTAGGAGAGGGGGAGCCTCTGGTCTCCGTTGGCTATGTGGTTAGTATTACACAGTAACAACCTTCTACTACAATTCTATGAGTAATAATCGACTCTGTGATGCAAGTAGCCTGGATGCCAGACCCAAAGCACACTGGACACAAAATATCTCAGTGTGCAAGGGTCTGGCAGGGTCTCTTAGGAAAGGCTCTCGAGCAAAGGGAGGAGAAGCTGTGATTGATGACCCCTCACACCACAGGTAGCCTGTTACATGGTACCACCATTGGTCAGCAGGAGACAATCTTGGGCTCAACAGTTAATCATTAACCAGTCAATTTTCTAGATGTTTTTGGAGTTTATTTTCCAATATAACAGCAGAACTTAATTTAACAGTAGAAGTAGTGTACAACCCAGGCTTTCCTGTTTGTTTAGGTAACAGTCTGTATCTGTATCTGTATAGCCGGTATAACCGCCTTTCGGCGTAACACACCAGCTTCGCAGGCACGCGGCGCGGCGGCAGCTGGCTATATTACACCGATCGACTTGTTACACCTAACCCTTGAACTTCTAGCTCTAGACATTGTTTAAAGCTATCTATTGACAGTGCCTCTAACACATTAGGACAAAATACACCTTATCTACAGTTTTATCTCATCTGCTGGTGAAGATTCAAAGATCCAGCTGGGATATTTTAACCAATCATAGCAGAGGTGTAGAATTGCTTCCTGCTGTGCCACCAATGGGTCCTTACGCTCAGATACTGAGCGTTCGAGTGGCAGGTCTATCTGACCCTGCCAGACCCAGGCTCACTGAGATATTTGTGTCCAGTGTGCTATGGGTCTGGAACCCAGGCTATGATGCAAGTTACCGGTAATCATGTATTTCCCCATGATCATACAATACAATACAGTTCCAAATTCTTCCAATATTACTATTAGTACATATTTATCATCATCATCATGCCTCCAGATTAGTCTATACTAATCCGGTGAGGTACACTTGATAAAGTTACTCCAGTATGTCCTATCTCTCATAGCGGACACTAATGCAGGCCCTGCTAGACCAGTGTCTCTCTCTAGCATGGACAAAAGTATTCATAAACTGTTGATTGAATAAGGTTTCGTGTCTGAAACTCTGGCGGATTTACATTCGAAAGTGATTGGTCATTAGTTACCAGTATCCTGATGAAGGTGACACTGGTCGTCAAAAATTTGACCCTTGTGCATCCTTGATTGGAATAAAGTTTAGCATCATACTATTACTACTAATACAGATGGACTTCCTTGTTAACAGTTGCAATACATCCATGGATACCCGAAACACTTCCCTTTAGTCTGAAATCCCTAATTTTTTGTTCCAGCTTGGCCTGGACTACACCAACCCTTACATCAGTCCCTTTAAGGAGTTCCAGAGGTGGAAACACCATCCTGCCATCAGACCCACGTTTGAGGGGGGCAAGAGGATAGCTTACGGGGCAAGGGCTCTCAATGAGGGAGGATTCCAGGTAACAGATTTACCATATACAGTAGTTTCCGCATATCTGTATAGCTCATTTGTCAGCGCATTTTGATAATACAATGTATACAGTTTCCCAGCCTATACGACAGTCTGGAATAGCATTATGATATTTGAAAATTTATTACTGTAAAATGTGTTTTCGCCGTGGTACCTGTTGCTGTAGCAGACACCCTGTGGTGTTGGGTTACATTTTGTAGCAAGTGGCAGGACAATGCATTGTTGGAGTTGGAGTTGAAGGGGCTGGTCACCATATATATGTGCATGAATGTGTTTGAGTAAGAATAAACAGAGCAGTAGTTTTTTGAGCTAGACCATTTGAAGATAAACATTATGAACTTTTCAAATGGTACCTTTCTAGTCTTTCTAGTCTTCCTGTTTAAATGTTATTAAATGAATTTTATTTTTTAAAATTTCCAGTCCATTCCCCAGCTGGCTTTCCCAGGAGGTTGCCTGATTGGCTGCAGCCCAGGTTTCATGAACGTGCCTAAAATCAAAGGAACGCACAACGCCATGAAGTCAGGCATGGTCTGTGCCGAGGCCGTCTTCGATAAACTTACAGACGAGAATCTTCAGTCAGAAACTCAGGGTGAGTGTGGCATCCTTTAACCTCTTTCCTGATGTCTAACAGCTTAACCAATTGAGAATTGGTAATAGAACAGTTACCTCAGTGTGCTAAAGATTAATCATAAAACCGTTAAGATCAGAAATTTTAGTGTCTGAGCTGAATCTTTGAAAGCAAAAAAAAGTGTTTGCAAAAATGTGGATCAAACTGAAGGTCTGTGCATAGAATTACAATTATTCAAGTGCTACAAATAATGTTTATTCTTTTTGTAGATTGCCTTTCTTATAACTTGATTTTACCAGACAACAGATAGTAGGAACAAAAGGGAAGACCAAGATATTAGAAAGATGTTTTTCATTGCCTTTAATTTGCAGTCTTCCGGGACAAAAACGTTTTTTTGTGACTAAAGATGGTATATTCCTCTGTAGGAGTGTTTGTGGATGACTATGAGCAGAGAATGCGGGACAGCTGGGTGTGGAAGGAGATCAAAAGTGTTCGGAACGTCAGACCATCATTCCACTCCCCCCTGGGACTGTATGGTACGCTCCTGTACACCGGAGTCTTCTACTACCTGCTCAGGGGGAAGGAACCATGGACCTTCTCTCACGGGGGTGAGGACATTAATTTTCTTTGCAACTTTTTCTTTCCAACTACAGTCATTCTAAACATGGATCATACTGATTTACAAGGGTTGTTATTACTGGTTTACATACATGTAGCATGTTTTGTTTTCGGGCCCAACATGCACACTACTGGAAAGAGTTACAGTCCTTAGGATGGGATGTTAAGCTCTGGTCCACTGTTCATTGTGCTTGTCAGAAAGAGCCAGGATAATTTCCCTAGTACAATGACTGCTTATAAATACTGTACATAGTGTCTGTATTCTCTGTCACGACTTGTGGAAGAGTGGCTTCCCAGTGAGCTAAAACTAGATCTAGATTCAATTTGCTTAGTTTCCTTTTTTATCCTTTAACCTATCTTGTACTAAGACCCACCCTACTGACTCCCCCAGGTGCGGACTACAAGAGGTTAAAGCCGGCGTCAGAGTGCACGCCCATCGAGTACCCCAAACCTGACAACAAGATCAGCTTCGACCTGCTGTCGTCGGTCGCCCTTAGCGGCACCAACCATGAGGGGGACCAGCCCGCGCACCTGACGCTCATGGACGACGCAGTTCCTGTCAACCAGAACCTGGGGATATACGATGGGCCAGAGCAGAGGTTCTGTCCTGCAGGTATGTGAAATTGCCCCTCAATTTTTTACTTCTGGGATGGAAGTATTGTTTTGGGTGGCACTGGTTAAGGGTAGTTTGTATGTGTATAAGTTATACTATAACTTAAGATGGGGCTGAACAGAGGCACACTTGACACTCATGGACGACGCAGTTCCTGTCAACCAGAACCTGGGTATATACGATGGGCCAGAGCAGAGGTTCTGTCCTGCAGGTCAGTGAATTCAATCCTCAATTTTTTACTTCTGGGACGGAAGTATTGTCACAGTGGACATCACTCACTGGCCTAGGGGCATTATGTATGTATCTTGTCTTGAGCAGCAAGGATTGCCCCTCAATTTTTACTTCTGAGACAGAAGTATTGTTTTGAATGGCACTAGTCGAAGGGGCCGTTTGTATATGCACATGTATCTGTCCTGATCCGTAAGGAATGAAAGTGGGTGGGTGGAGATTGGGTTTCAGTTGATTGACAGGGTTGTGACTCGATCTGGGTGGTAGGATGTAGTATGAGACCACCAGGAATGTGTACTGTGAAATCATCATATGAAACATAAACCATGGTGTAATACCAGAGTAAGTTGTCATACAATTGTAATACTAGTAATCATCCATTATTTTCATGTCTTGCTAGTTGATATTATATGTACAGTACGAATGAACACAGTGACATAACTTTCTTTGCCATTCCCCCAGGTGTATATGAATATGTTCCAATGGAAGATGGCAAGACCATGAGACTACAGATCAACGCACAGAACTGCGTCCACTGCAAGACTTGTGACATCAAGGACCCCAGTCAGAATATCAACTGGGTCACCCCCGAGGCAGGGGGAGGTCCAGCGTATAACGGGATGTAGTCACACAAATCAACAGCCTTAGAAACTAGCAATAGAGTAAAATATGTGGTATGGAAATACACAGTTGAAGAGCTAGCACAGTACATAGATGGTAGTTTTGTGACAAGAGTTTTGTTTCATCTGATTATGTAAGAAAATGTTATTTTCTTTATTGAAGGTGACAGTTGTGAAAATAACTAAACTTGTTGAGATTAAGGTTGAAGATTTTTCTTTCCTCTTAATTATTAAGACCAATTTAAAAAAGTAGAATTTGTTTTATAAAGGTGGTAACACTGGATGTACATGTAGTTATTATAACATATCCTATCCTATCCTGTTCCTTTAAAGACTTGTTGTGTAGTGGTTGAATGTACATGTACGTGTTCCATACTAAAAAAACTTTGGGGAAAAACTTAAGTGGCCTTCTACTGTGGGGACTTTTGTCTATATGTGTACTTCAGTTAGCAATGCTGAGAGCTTGCCAAATGTAATGATACTATGGTCCTATTCCTAATACCACCAAATTCAAATTCGCTGCAGCTTAAGAGTTACTGGTAGAACAAGTCAATGTCATGTGTAAATGTTGTACGCAGCAAAATTTAACTTAAACTGTATCTTTGGGATACTTGAACATTGTGTACAAAAGCCAATAGTTACTAACAGTGTCATCCTTTTTTTTTTAAATACAACAATTACTGTATAAGCAGTGCCACTAGAGAGGGTAGGCATGTATGTGTTTATTGGACTCAGGGCTTTTACATTGTGCGTGTTCTTTCACATGCTAGGATGTTGAAAAAACCTAACAACTACACTATCAAATCAATGTGAAGTCAAAATGCCTTGAATGATACTCCAAGCACTCTCTCTCTCTCTCTCTCTCTCTCTACCAATCCACTACCTTGTAACAATGTAACTTGTTATAATGTTGCCAAAGAACTGTCCAATAATGTACTAGACAGACAAGAAGAGCCACATCTCTGTACAAGTTTATTTTTTTCATTGCCACCATTACAAGTACATTATGTTCTATGTACATATTGTTGAGCATTGTTTTCCTCAAATAAAATACTATGTTCTATGGCATACATTACTTTCCATATTGTCTGATTCCTTTATAAAAGTATTCAGTATACATTACACCACAAGGAACATTAATAAGGGAAACTAAAGAGTGAAGTGTTTTGGATAAACATTTTGAAATAAAGACAGTGCATTGTAAAAAAAAGAAAAGAATACATCAGTCTGTTATTCAGTATCAATACAGACTTAATGTTACATTCAAAACACAAGAATATGTTTTTTTAAATGAAAATTGGAGTTGTTATGGTATACAATCTATTAGACAGTCCATTTTGCATCAGCTAACTTCTTTATATTGCACTTAACACATTTCAAAGCAATATATACACTCAGTTTTGTGAAATGGCGGAAAATCATTAAAAACAAATGATGTCATAGCTCACATTGCGTGACGAAAAAGGCAATTAGTCTGTGATTTTGAACTATCGCTACAAGTTCAGTTAAAAAGCATTGTGCGTTTCACCTTTGAATCGGGCTGTTGGTATGGGAATTGAAAGCACTGCTCACTGGCTGTGTTACAACTGAGCAACCAAAGCACCTCTGTTAGTACATGACAGCTTTATAAATTTCATAGTGCTAATTTTAAGGATTTCAAAGATAACTTCGTAGAAATGGCTGAATGCAAGGCCTATATGACCATAATACATGAATATCCAATATTGGGTATATTACAGAATACATAATGTATCAAAGTTGTCACTTGTTCCAAAGTTGTTTTTTCCTATGGGTCTTGCCTTTTCTGCTCCAACCTTGATATATAATGCTTTTAAAAAATCAGGAATGTCCAAGACAGTGACAGACATATACATGTACATACATGTAAGTCTGATGCAGCATGTCAGCAGAACGTACTCCACCTGTGCAAAACCTGTAAAGTATTGAGCAGAATGTCTTTTGGAAAGTCGTATTTAAGGATGACATCCCGTCTTTAGTTTTCAAATGTTGTGTCGGAAAAGATATTTTCTGCATCAGGCAAAAGTATGATGCAACTTGGACCAAACATTCAATGAAAACTGACAAATCAGGGTTTCACGCAGGCACAGTATGTTCTGCCAACATGCTCTCTGGTGCTGCTGTTAACATGTTGACAAACTCTGTTTGCTACATTGTCATTGTAGATCTGAGCGGTCTGTTGGCCATCATCTGTTGGTACTTCTCTTCCTTTGCATGGCGGATATGGCACAGCTGAAACACAAGGCAGAGGTTTCACTTCAGCAAGTCAACAACCCTAACCACAAGAATATCTTGCCACCTTTTACACACTGAAAAGACAAGACAGGATTCCAAATTGGTATACATTGGTATATATGGGAACATTGGTATAAGCAATCTAAGAGGTCACAAAAAAGGCCAGAGAGTCCTTAGGAGAAGTGCGCAATAATATAGGTTGGACTGTACATTTAAATCCATGTACTGCACTTAGGCATAAATGCTGGCAATGTATTTGGCATGACATAATACAGATCAATTTTTACTAACATGTAAACTGGCAATTTATTGAGCAATACAAAAATGAACATCATTCAGCAGTTGGAGGAATATCATGACTTACCACTCTTTTCTCCATGAATTTCTGCAGGAACTCGTCTATTTCCATCTTGCCCTCCAAGAACTCGTCAGCTATGACATCAGACTCCTCCTCTGCCTGCTGCGCTGCCACCTTCAGGTTAGCCTGGATCATCCCCGGCTTGAATTGCTGAAAATAAAAGACAGTAGGTTCATAAAAAAAGGGCAACTTCCTACTCCTATATAGTAGAAGTATAGGAGTGTACATGTCTGGTAAAAGTATTCAGCAAGTGTTCCATAATGGGAAGTTACAGAGATGTTTTGCAGGCCAACACTTTGAAATGTTCATTACAAAATACACATACAGCACTCAATACACATACAATACACAATACATTGTACAATTATAGTCAATACACATTACGTGACTTTGTACAATACACAATACATGACATGTACAGCTTACAATACTAGTCCCCTCCCCTCAAGCACACACACAAACACACCCACACACTCAATCACATACACTCACCCACAAACACATACATGTACAGACACCCAGGGACATCCACATGGACACGCACACACACACACACACACACACAAAGACACTGGCTTACAGTCATCCACACATGCAAAGTGATCTCCAAGATAAAAACAAAAAAACATCACAACAACTCACATCCATGAGGTCGTTTTGTCTCTGTGAACTCTTGTCAAACATCCTCCTGAGCTCGTTCTGTTCCTCCACCTTCTCAATCAGCTCCTTCTTCTTCTGCTCCAGCATCGGCTGCTTGTCCAGGTTCTGTCCTGCAGGGTACAAACAGGTACTGAGTTTAAGAATTAAGGCACTGTTATAATTAGCCTTGTGGTCACGGTGGTTAAATCAGAATTTTCTTATCCAATTGTAAGGACTGATTTCCTCACTCAGATCAACACAGAGTGGCAAGGTGGTCTTGTGCTTAAGCTTCTAATCAGTAGCAGGCCCCGGAATGGCTTGAAAAAGGCAATTATTTGCTCTCTTGAATCAGGCAAAAAAGTATACTAAGCTTCCTTAGGGACATCCTCCAGGATAGGAGGTAAAGCCACACCTCAAGCGCATCGAAAAAAGTAGGGTGAGTGATTCAAACCTTACAGTCCATTCTTATGGAGTTTGCATAAAGTCCTTTACTAATATGTGAAAGAACAACATACAACAACAACAAAAATGTTTTCCTTACTTGCTAGCTCCTCTGTGGCATCATTGAGCTTGTCTCTGTCCTGGTAAAGTTGCTGACACTGGGGCAGGCTGCTGAACAGGTCAACGACCTTAGTTTCATTATCATGGAGCTCCTTCAGCTCTGCAACACTGAGGAAATAAGGAATGGGAGATGTAAGTCTTGCAGGAAGTGTTTTGGGTATCATGCATTTTGGGTCACAACCCTGTCAATCAACTGAAACCCAATCTCTGCCCACTCACTTCCAATCCTTGCTGCTGAGGACGAAATACACACAAATTCCCCAGTGAACCAGAGGAGCCCAAAACAACACTCCCTCCCCAGAAAAATGATGACTATTATAATTTGTAAAGTAAGCATAATACACTAATGTCTGTCCTCATCATTATATGATATTTCATAGAAAGGGAGTCATTAAGAAGTACCTGAGAGAGTTGACTTCCTTGAAGGACTCAGGAATATCTGGCATCTTATACTTAAACTGCAAAGAGAAAAAAATATATGTGTGTGACATAACAATGTCGTACAAAAGAACCTGTGAATTTTCATGAAATAGACCATAGACTATGATCCAACAAGAAACCTTTAGACCCACCAAATGACATGAAACTTCTATCTCATACTGTTATAAGTTTTACATTTGTTCTTGTGCCAACAGAACTTACTGGTACTGGAGAAAAGTTGCCTTGCACGCGGACCTCTGGCCTGGGTGTGGGAGTGGTGGTAGTGGATGTAGATGGCAGCGTGGGCATGGGAACCTGGGGCATGTAGCTACTGGTGGAGGAGGGGTAGGAAGTAGTAGGGTATGGGCTGTTAGCCCCCATGTATTGTGGAGGATGTGATGGGTAAGGCAGCTGGCCACTGGATGAAGCACTGCAAAATAAGAATATGTTTAACTTAATATAGGATGATACACATTGAATTATTCACATATCCAAGACAAGTAAATGCTTATCATTTCATATATTAAACAAAATATATAGATGGAAGCAGAAGAGAGAGCTATACTTACGGAGCTAAGATCTGTGGCGGGTTGTTCTTGAATTCATCGATGATGGTTCTAATCACCCGGCCTAGATCTGTGTGCACTGCAAACTGTAGTCAACAAGAAACAACAAAATGTAGCCACCAACCATTATAGTTGCTATTTCAACCATTATTGCAAAAGTACTATCAAATTGGAGGGTCAGAAAACACATGATATATCATTAGTGATAATCTTTCATATACTGATGTTGTAGCCACACAAAACGTCTTGCTAAGAATTCCAGGAACCAAACCCAAAACCTTGTGTCTATACCACCCGTCCCTTCGATGCCCCATTAACTCTTCTCTATATAACTTGTGATACATACGTAGTCTACCATCCAGACTTTCAGGCTGACTTACAGAGTTGATCCCAGGACAGCCAGTGACGACCATCTGGTCGTTGACCCATGGGTGGCGCAGAGGCGGACTGACGACCACGATGGGCCGGTCCTTTGGGAACTCTGGTGGCAGCTGACTGTAAGGAGAAAGAGGAATACTAGTATCTACATGTCCTGTGCTGTACATGATTTGTTTGAGCCTTTGTTTATCCATAAAAAAGATGAAGGTAATCAACTTTGGGTACTAGCAATGCAAAAAAGATGAAGGTACATGCATGTACTAGCAATCAACTTTGGGGAACTATCAGTGCAAGTTAGACAAAGAACAGTTTGAGATTGTTTAGCTACATGTAATAGAACTACCATGGTTATAATGACCACGTGTAAATACTAAGATAAGTAAATACCCATGTCAATACTTCTACGAAACAAAATCAAATTTCAAAATCATAATATCTTCTTAAACCATGTTGTCTGTACTAGTAAAGGCAAGGAGTCTTTATATATTATATATTAAGTCTCTATAAATCAAGGAGGTTCAAAGACAGTTAAATGCTACATAACATACATGTTGAGAGAGATGGTTAATTGTGTAGGTTGAAACTCACATGTTGAGAGAGATGGTGACATTGTTGACAGAGCAGGTGACTCGATATTCCACATCTCTCCTCAGCTCGAACACACTGGAACAACACAGGCACTTCTCTACATGGACTGTCACACACTGAATCAACATCGCAATCTCTAACCTTAATACTTTGATTAACTATATTAATTACATATACTGGTGCCATGAAAAAAAAGACGCTTTCAGTTTCTAGTAAGTATAGAGTTTTCCAGTGTTACATCCATGTAGAGGAAACTATGTTTCAAGTTGTTGGCGAAACTATTGTTTCAGTTGCATGGAAACTACTGGTATCCTTGGTTGCTGGTATCACACTGTATCATGGTGCAGTTGATGACAAAAAGAGATTCACTGCAACGTCTTTACAAATTTGTTTCTGTAGTGATGACTTGGTCAACTACTAGCTACTTCATGTTTAGCAAATTAAAAACAGATACAATTTTATGTTTAGGTGGTATTCTGAGTATTCACAAAGATGGTATTCACCGAAGTCTCTTTTGTTATATTATAAATGTCACAACATGTCATAACTTGTCAAAATACAATATTGATTTTTATCACAATTTTGCATACATTTAACATTCTAAAATTCTCTTCATTTGGAAGGTACTTTTTCAAACAGGATCCCATTTCAATAATATAAAACGTTGATTTTTGTACACGTATAATTTATAATCTAAATTGCCCACCAAAGTAGAAATCCTATGATGATGCAAGCAAGGGAGGAAAATATTTTGCACACTCACTTTTGGTTGAATGTTTTGAGAGTTTCTATCTGCTTGTGACGTTGTTGTTGCAGCGCTGTCGGGGCCGGAAGGTTGCTCTGCGGTTTCGAGCGTCCAAAAAGGTTAAACATACTCGCGACAAGGACCAGAAACCGGCAGAAAGGCGAGAATATCACGACTCAGTCTTTCACTTCCGTGATTCTCTTTCTTGTCACAGAGATCTGAGTCAGAGATGGGGGTCAAAGGTTACATGAACAAAAAGCATTTTATTTGTTTGTTGAACTAAATTACCCTTAAATGTTGCCCTTAAAAATTAATATCTATCTATGAAGTGTTTGTTATTATTATATTATCAGTACTTTTTTTTTTGAAGATTATTTTATTTTGGAAATTTTTTCTCCCATCATGCCCAAAACCCTTCGCGCATGCGCACTTAGTACAACTTGAAAGAGGGACTTCCTGGCCGATTTTCGCGGGGATTCCACCGAAATTTGGGTCTGAATCAGACTTTATATCGCAGTTTCGCTCGCGGTGGTGTGCGCTCAGGCTCCCGGTACGTCCAGGCTTTCCTTCTGTCTGTCGTGTTGTGGTTTTGGCAGCTGTAGATGGGTGGAAACGGGGTGAGACCGTGTGTGTGTACGTGGAGTCGGCCATGCTAACGCATGCTGCAAGCTGTTACCTGAGTCATCTGGCTTTGTTACATACACCTTGTCCTAAGTTGTCACTACTAAACAAAAAGTCCACCTTTTCCAGGTGCTTCAGTTTTAACTGTCGTCAACTGGAAACTTTTCTGATTGCAAATCAGCTTGCTATGCATTTGATCTATCTATTTTCATCTGTAATACATTTTAAAGAAACTTGTGTAACAAAATTATGGCCTTGAACAAATTGAAGTTCATCTGTTATTTTGCAACCTGGCAGTTTTTTTTCTAATACATCTAATGTATTGAGATTTCATATGCATACTGTAATTTGTATTGGATAGTTTGGAAGGGTTTGCATACAATATCTGATGACTTAAATATCCTTGATTTAATGTTTATTCAATTCATTTGATTTATTTATAAACAATGTAATTTTATATTCTTGCTATAAGAATGTTCATCATACATTTTGTACTTGCATTTACTCCATGCATTTACTGTGGCTATAGCAAAATTCAAAAGAGAAAATTATGACTAAAAAACTCATGATCATTTAACACTAACACTACCGTATCTGTATCTGTATAGCAGGTATAACTGCCCTTTGGTGTAACACACCAACACACCAGTACACGGTGCGGCGGCAGCTGGCCACACCGAACGACTTGTTACACCTAACACCTGAACATCTAATTCTAAACATTGTTAAAAGCTATCTAGTGATGATACCCCTACTGTACTTGGTGACAGCGAGTTCCACTCTGCGATAGCTCTAACACACACCATCCTTCTGTTTTACCTTCTGCAGGATTTCTCTACACATTGTGACGCCCGATTTTGCCATTGGCATGACATGACCTTCTCACAATAACAGTGGGACAACATGCCAACCTCAACACAATCTTCTACCAACTACGGAATCCTGGAGATCTGGAACCACAACATCGATGATGCCTTCAAGAGGATACGACAGATCGTGCACAAGTATCCATACATAGCCATGGTAAACTACTAAAGTTGTTACACATAATACTACCTAGGACTACCTAGGGTAGTAGTACCTAAATGTAACAGCAGGTACAGGTAGAAGTAGAGGTACCGGCACAGAGGTTTAGGTGCAGGTACGTGAACTATTAGACAAATTAACATATGTTCATTGCCTATGGTAAAGTCGCTACTGTTGCACATACATGTACTACAGTACCTAGGACTGTGTACCTAAATGTAACAACAGGTACAGGTAGAGGTACCGATACAGAGGTTCAGACCTGTACCTGAACAATTTGAGTTTTTGACAAATTAACACATGTTCATACGTCGATGAAGGTTAGACATCCAGGTAATGTTTTTTGGCATAACACATGTTCATAGCCTATGGTAAAGTCGCTACTGTTGCACATACTAGTTTACTGCAGTACTGTACCTAGGACTGTGTACCTAAATGTAACATTAGGTAATAGACCAGAGGTACAGAGGTTAAGTACAGGTCCAGACCTGTACCTGAACAATTTGACAAATTAACATCTGTTTGTAGCTACATGTATTTATCAGCCTGTGCAAATTTCATTTTACAGGTATTGATACTATCTGTGTACACATTGATTTTGGCATGTTTCCCCCCAAACATATTGAATTGGGTTCCATTTGAGGATTTGGCAGCCAATTTTCAGCCATGGTCTCATCCTGGCACTAACTCAATGTTTCAGAAAGGGGATCTGATCTCAACCAATGAGATGTTTCTCTCTCCCCCAGGATACAGAGTTTGAAGGTGTGGTGGTGTGGCCCATAGGAGAGTTTAGGGAGGGGTGCTAGGACTTTGGGGAGAGGGGGAGCACCCTTCCTTCATTGCTTGGGGAGAGCCCTGCTATCTGTTGTTGCAGGCCAATTGCAATTGCCCTATAAGACCATAAGACTGACCCTTTGCTTCCTTCCCCCTCCACAGGATACCGAGTTTCCTGGTGTGGTGGCGCGGCCCATCGGTGAGTTCCGCAGCACGGCGGATTACCAGTACCAGCTGCTCAGGTGTAACGTGGACCTCCTGAAGATTATACAGTTGGGCATGACCTTCATGAACGAGAAGGGAGAGTACGCGCCCAACATCTTCACCTACCAGTTCAACTTCAAGTTCAACCTCACGTACGTACCATTAAACATCACTACCATAAACAACAGGGTACAAAATACTTTTTTGAACGGGCAACCAAGTATTTTGCATGCTGCAACAACCAAGTTCATTTTAACAAGGGCTGTTCCAGGTTGGAGACTAGGGTTAAAATTTGGCTCAAATCAATTACTGAGATCTCATGAAGTGAAGCTAAGTTAGTTGTAAGAAGAAAAGAATTGGAAGGGTTAGATTGCTGTAGTTGTAAGAAGAAAAGAATTGGAAGGGTTAGATTGCTGTGGCTAAGAAATACTTGCACAGCTCCAATGCTACTTGCACTAGGCTTCATATGCCGGTGGTATTTCCAGCCCTGCATATTACTAGTACATGTGTATGATACAATAGTGCCTTTATTTAAGTTTAAATGAATATAGAACGTTTCTCTCCATGTTTGTTGTCCAGGGAGGACATGTATGCGCAGGATTCCATAGACCTGCTGCAGAACTCCGGGATCCAGTTTAAGAAGCACGAGGAGGAAGGCATTGACGTCACGTACTTCGCAGAACTCCTCATGACGTCAGGTGTGGTTCTGTGTGACAACGTCAAATGGCTGTGCTTTCACAGGTAAGACAGTTTACTATGTGTATTTTGTTGTAAACATAATTATACATGTACCTTTCTCATATGAATAACTAATTTGACTACAGTATCAGAATGATTATATAACATGAGTTTTAATAAGTTTCAGATTTTCTTGGCAAAAAATTGGCAAATCCAAAGTCTTGTCTTTGGCTTGTTTGTGTTAGTGTGTGTCCCAGAAGTAATAATAGGCCAACCAAATGACTTGATACTGGTATCGGTTTGTTCCTGTGCCAACAGAGCTTACTGGAGAAAAGCTTCCTTGCACTGGCCCAGGGTGTAGGTCACTGTAGGAGTGGTAACAGTGTATGAAGATGGCAAGTAACAACAGCTTAATTTTTTCTCTCCCTTCCAGCGGCTATGATTTTGGGTACCTCCTGAATGTGCTGACGTCCTCCAACCTCCCTGCTCAGGACACAAAACATACAAACTCACAGTGAGCCAGAGCCACCCAAAATGATACTTCCGTCCAAGAAAGTAACATCTTTTTTTCTCTCCGTTCCAGCGGCTATGACTTCGGGTACCTGCTGAAGGTGCTGACCTCCTCTAACCTCCCCGTGGAAGAGCTGGATACATACAAACTTCCAGCGAGCAATAGACTCCCAAAACAATACTTCTGACACCTTTTGTTCTCTCCTTTTCCAGCGGTTATGATTTCGGGTACCTCCTGAAGGTGTTGACGTCCTCTAACCTCCCCGCGGAAGAGCTGGAGTTCTTCGAGCTGCTGAGACTTTACTTCCCCGCCATCTACGACGTCAAGTACCTGATGAAGAGCTGTAAGAACCTGAAGGGCGGGCTGCAGGAGGTGGCTGATCAGCTGGAGGTACGCCTGTCAATCATAATTAGGGCTATCCAATCAGAGCTGAGCAAAGCAATGTCACAGTCCAAGTACTGTAAATTTGTTTACTTTCGTGATGTTTTTTTTTTTTGCAGTAGAAAGTTTCTGCAGTATTTTTCAGTAGTCATATTTGCTGTGAATTTGCAATGGATTGACCACTGCGAAACAGGAAATATAAAACCACTGTGAAAGTTTGAAGATTTATGTTAGCATATCCTTGGTAGCATTAATTATGTACTTCAAAACATTACAAATGTTGAGAGTGACAGTACTTTTTTTCTGTCAGTAAAGATTTCTGTTCTGTTGTTCCAGCTGGAGAGAATTGGGCCACAACATCAGGCAGGCAGTGACAGTCTACTGACGGGGCTGGCCTTCTTCAAAATGAAAGAGGTACTTGATTTTTTGTTTGTTTGTTTCACGTAAGCGGTAAACTGCTTTTATGCATAAAACACCAGTTACTGTATGTGCAGTAAGAAGAAGCTGTGCAAGACCAGACTGTAAGGTGTGAACCAATCACTCGGGTATGGTTACGAATTCCGTAACTGTGGAAGAATCTTTTATAAACATGCTTTAGGCATGGCTCTCCTCAAACACAGGAAGGTTAAATTCAATTTTGACAGGAGTGTTACTTAACCTGTGTAATTGTTGTTTCTCAAGTGTAGTTTTATTTATTTTATTGTTTTTTAAAGTTTCTCAAGTCATTTATTACAGTTAAATCCTGACCTGTATTTTTATCATGTCCACAGATGTTCTTTGAAGACAGCATAGACGACGCCAAGTACTGTGGTCACCTGTACGGCCTGGGCAACTCGTACGTCCAGAACGGCAACTACAACAACAACAGCGAAGACACCATTTCACACACTCCCCAGCAGTCGTAGCACCAGTCTGTCCTTCCTTCCACCTCTCTCTCTTTTCTACCAAAAGTACTACTATGTAGTTCTCGAGGCTGGGCAAAATACAGCTTGTTTTATCCACCCCCCTTAAATTAGCAGTATTATATTATAAAGATGTTTTAACGAAACAAGTTATTGAGCTTGAAGCGTGTGGGTGAATCTCACCACAGCTGTTTTCTATGAATATGTTAATTTTACACATATGCTTTAAAAGTTTAAACATAAATTGTCAAAGGTTTTGACATTTGTTCAACCAATAAGCTTAACTAGAACTTTTGATACATTTCCGATTTTTTCTAAAATGCAAAGTAACAAATATTACCAAATTCCCTGCTAAGATCATATACTAGTACAGTTATGTATCAGTTAGCAGACAGAAGTTTCGCATCTCAGCAGCCAGAAGGTTATGGAAAATTTCATAAGGAGAGAGGAAAAATAGTTGCATCTTGCTGCCCGCTTTCAGTGCAATTTGGTACAATGACAGAGCTTTTTTTACGACATTGGTGCTATCAGGAGCGCTTGTTTAGCACGTTAGTTGCGGACCGGACAAGCTGTATGGTGCCCAGTCTTGGCAGCCTCCCTAGGGGACCACCTATATACAGTCAGAAGTACTCATGTAATATTGGATTTAATCAGGCTACTACAGCGGGTATGGTACAAGTCTGCTGGGAGTTGGATGCACTGTTGGACGGACTGTCGTGCTTTGAACTTCGTGTGTGGCACTCTGACCAAATATGTAGCTTTTTGCATAGAATTTGAGAAAAGTTATCTTGTACTTTGTACTAAATTCTGTGTAGGAACTGCAAAATGTTGTCTCACATGTAGATGGCAGCACCAAGTCCGTTCAAAACTGCTTCCAACTTTGCTGCAGAGTAATAGAGCTACTTTCCAGGGCATACATACATAAGGTGTAAGCAATATACGGTTTGACGTACGGTACAGTACATACATCTATCATCTTGCACCTTCCTTACATCTCAACTATACAGCCATGGTCTTAACTAAAGATCATTTATGGCAGCTAAGAAGTTAGTCAAGGACATAGTAATACCAGTTTTAGGAAAAATGGATTTACAAAATTGTATTAGAATGGTGCGAATCAAGTCAGCAAAACTAAATTTCATCCAGCTTGTTGAAGAAGAAAAAAAATGGTTTTGGAAGTATTTTGCAACAACAATAACGACAAACATATTTGTACACTGTATGTGTGGAAAAAAACTATGGATTTTTGTTGGTGTAGTGTATAATATAGTCCTAGACATTGCAACGATTTTCCTCAGCATAAAAAAAACATTGTAACAAGTAAGCAACAAAAGAAATCTTTTTCTTCTCTTGATAGGCAAACTCGAGTATCTTGGAAGGGATGTAAGTCTTTGTCGACTTTGTCAACTTTGAAGACTGTAATATTGCTCAACATGAAAGCTATTTGTTGATCAAGTTTAGAATGCTGGTTGATTTGTTATGTAAAAACACACCCATTCCCCGTTTCTTTTGTATTGGCATCATACTGCATCATTTGGTTCCACCTGTACAGCTTTGTTCTGATCATGTCATGCACACACAAAAACAGAAAAAAAAACATAAGAAAAGATGGTTATATAAGAACATAAAACATTTATATCAACTGTAACATTTTGAGCAGGAACCTCTGACTTGTAGGTAGGTCTTATTGGGTCCGGCGATAGTTTGTTTTTACTGTGAACTGTATTATGTACATCATGGATTATTTTAAATTTTGTAAATAGACAATATTTCCTTCTGCTTTGTATGATACCTTAAGCACTGGCACTTTCACCTGAAAAGAACTGCACCTCACAGCATTGAAATGCCCTGGTCATTTTGTCATCATTGTTTTAGGTTAAGGCACTTTTATGTGATTATTAAAGTATTGTAAGTTGTTATATGTTAGTATTAGTGTTAGAAATGATAAAAGGGTTAATAAATAAATGTCTTGAAGGCTTCTTATTGCCAATTTAAAGAACTGGTTTTATTTTGTTTTTTTCTGAAATGCAATGTGGTGTGAGACCACTTCAAGGGAGTGCCAAACATGCATTTGATGCCAGTTATGTAATACACGATTAAAAAAAAATTTGAAGCAAAAAAAAACATCTTTGGATTTAAAGCGCTTAAAATTTGGGCCGACATGTTTTTGACAATCAAGGCTAAAACACTCGTTTTGAGGTCACCCAAGCACTTCAAATTTTGGAGGGTTGTGGGCGGAGTACTATCACTGCAAAAGATGAGCCAAGTCTACTTTTAATCCCTGCCATCATTGCTCATTACAGACATTCGCTCTTGACAGGAAAGATTATGACAATGTGAAAGATTTGTCCAAGCTGTTTCACATGTTATTTCTGATTCAATTTTGTTGTCAGTGCAGAATATGTGGACTGTTGAGGCCACAGTTTAATTAATCCCTAAAGGTCTACAGCAAAGAGCAAAACATCTGGCTTTAATAAAGAGTGGTATACCGGTAGATAAAGATTCTGTAGTTTAAAAGGGCACATGAGATATTGTAGCATCAACTAAAGTCGCTAGCCGGCGCTCTTTTCCAGAACCCCCATACAGGCCCTCATATCTGACCAACCAAATCGTCACAATATGATCAGCTGATATGACCGTCTCATGCGTTGTCGAAAACCCCCATGCAGGCCCTCATACCTGACCAATCAAATCGTCACATTAGCGCAGACGACCAATGGGAAAAGTGCATTTTTCCCGACCAATGGAGAGGCTCCAAAGTGCATTCTTCTGACCAATCAGCATGCCAGAATTCCGTTCAGTCGACCAATTGCAGGCTTTTTGCTCTTTGCACAGGTGGTTGGAAGTTTATAAAGGCGACGCGCGGGGATGGTTGCGTCACTAGTCGATTTTGAACTGCTTCTACAGCGCGAAGAGAAGATGGTCGCTCTTCTATCGACACGGCGGTCTGCAAGCCGAAATGTGTGGGGAAATGGCGGTGCCAAACGCCCAGGGCATCGGTCACCACGACAAGAAGAACTTCCGAGCTCATTCAAGGTGAGAATTGGACCAGTTTATACCTTCAGTGGAACGTCAAATGTTTTTTTTTTGGTTTCGTAGCGTTTTGCTTTCTACTTCTGAACTCGATACGTGTACGGAAAATTCCACGAAATATATACCGGTACTCGTAAATGGAGACAAACGACCTAACACACTCTTTCCTCTCTCTCTCTTTGCAACTTAGGAATACCTCCGATTCGGTACCGCATACGGAGGAAGGCTTCTTTACCTGAAGTGAGCCGGTCTAATCGCCTCCGATGTCAGTTTGAATCTCCTATGACCTCCAGTGGCGGTCCAAGTTTGACAAGGTATTTTACTATATCGTGTGACAAGTTAACAGTCTGCTTTATAGCAGGATGGAAGTTCGGAACCAGTATTAACCCTCAACAGAACACCTTCCCGGACTGATTAATCTGTACACCTGGGGTCCGCGCGGACCCCAGAACAGTTTTTTGCTAATTTTTAGAAATTATCAACATGCTACCAGCTCAATTGTTTTGCAAACTGATGTGGGAACCTCTGTGTCCACATTACATACAAAAATCATACATTTTGAACTTTTTCTATTTTTTGGTGAAGAAAAGAAGGCAAGAAGAAATACCCGATTTTTAAACCCATTTCAGACAGAAGGGGCTTTTGAGGCCCAACTTTGATCTCAGATAGCGGCTAAACGGCTTGCGCTAGAAGTATCAAATTTGGAGACCTTTCCTAAAATGTCTCTGGAAAAAGTTCATATTAGTTTAATACTAGTAAGTTGATGTTTTTTTGTGTTGCCATGGCAACGGGTTTCTAGCAGGCAGTTTTTTTGAAAATAGAAGTAATTTTGGTTTAAACATAAAAATTTTCTGAGTTTTATATTAAATTACACTTCTTTTCCAACATTAATAACATCTTACATAATTAAATATAAGTTAAATCATTTAATATGCATAGAATATGCTAATTTGATGACGTCATTGGTCAAAATCCAATATGGCGGACTATATTATTAGCTCTGACGTCATAT